TCCTCTTTCAATGTGTGTTATTGTACTGTTCTGTCCCTTTGGGTAACACGGGAGAGGGAGACTGAGAAATACGAGTGTTGTATACACACACACACACACACACACACACACACACACAGAGAGAGACAGCGAGACAGAGAAACAGAGAGGAGAAACTAAGGGACAGGTTCCTGTCATCCTCCCTCACATTGCTTATCTCTGTCCTGAAGGATTCTAGGAGCACAACATACATAGCCACATACCTTTGATGCATGGTGTGTGTGTGTGTGTGTGTGTCCTGTGATCCCAACCTTTGTGACATAGTACGGTCTCCATACCTGCCCCACACATCAGTGTATAGGTGACCCGGGAAACAGAGATGAGAGGTGCAGGGAATCAGGAGTGGTGGCCAGGAATGCACTCTGTCCCATGCCAGTCTTCCTTCCTCTCCTGGCCACAGCAAGTTTCTGTTCCTATGGCAGCAAGATCAAGGCTTGCAGACTGAGCAAACATGCTTCTGCGAATGGATCAAATTCCAGATGTGTGTGCGTGTGTAGATGTAGGATGTACATGAACAATTGTATGTATGGATGCACATGCATGTACATGTGCTTTGGGGTAGAGTTGTATCTCTAAGACATATGCAACTAAGCCCATATGCAAACATGCCCCTATGGATTTTAGCTGTGATATTCAGGTAAATGTTTAACAACTGGCTCGTCATTAAAAAAAAATCTCGCCAGGCGTTGGTGGCGCACGCCTTTAATCCCAGCACTCGGGAGGCAGAGGCAGGCGGATCTCTGTAAGTTCGAGACCAGCCTGGACTACCAAGCGAGTTCCAGGACAGCCTCCAAAGCCACAGAGAAACCCTGTCTCAAAAAACCAAAAAAAAAAAAAAACTCTACTCTTTGGCCTTTGTGGTGTGAACATTACCGCAGGGCCGCATTAAGCTGCCAAGGGTGTGTAGCGTCTTCTGAGCTGGGAAGGGAAGGAGATGTGCAAGTCTGGACCGTAGGAGCTGTGTAAGTCTGCTGAATACCTGAGGACTGGACTTGCATCCGTGACTGCCAGTGGTAGGCAGGACCACATCCTATCTGTGACTGGCAGAGAGAAGTCTACGTGCTGGCCAGGAGATGCAGAACCTCTGTGCCAGCGGGGCAGGAGAGAGGTGGCTGGGCACCAGCCAGCTTTGTGCCTGTCGCTTGGAAGCTGGTCCAAACTGATGCTCCTTATTAGGCTGGCCTTGACACTCTCTGAGACTCTGCCTTGCTGTGTGCATGTGCTGAGAGGTGGTGGCCGGGCATCTGAGAGGGTACAGAAGAGGAACCAGTGTCGTATGGGGATGAAGGAGGAGGGAGGTGCACCTCAGACCTCCATCCCATGCGATAGTGAGTAGGGTTGAGGGGATAAGAAGCTAGGCCACTAGGTTGCTTAAAGTCAGTTTGCTGGACATGTGACTTTCTCTTCTTTGGCCCTCCAACTGGGGGCTTCATCAACAAGAGACAGGACTTCCCAGAAATGTCTGTAGTCCTTTCCTGGACCTACCGGAGCTAAGTCCTGAGACTGGATTTGTAGTGTTGGGATCTCTGTTGAAAAGTTGTAGGGAGGCAGGCTAGGGATACAGCTTGTTTGCATTCGTAGAGTTCCTGCCTAGAGTGCATGAAGCCCCTGCCTGCTCCAGCTCTGAAGTCCTAGAAACACAGTGCCGGGAGTTGGGCAAGCAATGAAAGGAATTCATGGAAGTGAGGACCAAGCTATAAAAAAAATCTTTATTTCATGTACCAGGATTGTTTTTTTTTGTCATTTTGTCTTTAGGTTTCTTCTTTTTAAAATTTTTTTTTCTGTTAACAGTCTGGAAAAAAAATGACCCACCAGGAAAATAAAATGGAAATTGGTTTCTTGAATTGATCAGAGCTGGGTGTGAGATGTCTGTCATTACAGGAAGCATTGTCCCATCCCTTCAGGCCCCCTAGCCCTTTCTTGGTCAGCTGTGCTGATGTTACCCTTCACCCACAAGTCTTCTTTGTGGCCTGTCCCCAGGTCTCAGTGTCTGGGGAGAAGTCTGATTGCTGCTCAAATACTTGGCCAGAGCTCAGGGAGCTGGGGCCACAATTCCTCCACAGAGAGGCGCTTACTTGTATGGCCCTTCCCTGTGTCTCTAAGCATTGATATGGGGTGGTCTGGAATCTGCTGGGGCTTGGGCAGGGCTAGGTGAGGAGGCATAAGGTGCTGTTTTTGCCCAGTTTGGAAACTGCTTTGACCTCCCTGCATGTTAACTGGCCCATAGATCTGAGCCACGGGGCCTGAGGTCTCCCCCGAACTTCTGGGGTGGACTAGCAGGAGGTCTGCCTTGTGTGGACCTGGGAGGAGAATGCTCCTCTTCCGGACACAAGTCAGGAAGCTACAGAAGTCTTCCTCAGCATGCCTTCCAATTCCAGAGAGTTCCATCAGAGACCCCTCAGAGCAGAGGCCAATGTCAGGGTAGCAAAGTCAAGCAGGAGGCTGGTTGATTCTGAGTAGTGCTGTTACTCAGGGTGGAGGGTAGCCACTCATGAGGCCGCTAGGAAATAGTTAGCCTGGTTCTCATTGTCTGATCTGGACCTGGCCACTTTGGGGAAGGAGAAGGGAAAACCTGAGTGCTCCCTCAATCCACTCTGGGGTGCAAGCCTATCTGGGCTGACACTTGCCTGGGAGTGGTCTGCGAACATTAATTTCCTCACAGGGAGGTCTTTCATCCCAGAACACATGCTTTTTCACTGACCCCAAAGACAGCAGGGGAACCATCTTTTGAAGAAGCCTCCCCCACTTGCTATGACTGGGGCTATAACATTCAAAAGGGGGAGGTAAAATGAGGAGCTTTGGGGGCAGTGCATCTCCCCGTCTTCATGGCAGGGGACAGGTTGCTCACATATGTGAATTTTTGCTTTGATACTGGATGTGGGGGCTGGGGAACACAGTGAGGAGGCACATGTGTGTATGTGTGTGTGTGTAGAGAGAGAGAGGGACAGAGAGACAGAGAGAGAGACAGAGACAGACAGTGAGAGACAGAGAGACAGAGAGAGAGACAGAGAGACAGAGAGACAGAGACAGAGAGATACAGAGAGAGACACAGAGAGAGAGACAGAGAGAGACAGAGAGACAGACAGAGAGAGAGAGAGAGAGAGAGAGAGAGAGAGAGAGAGAGAGAGAGAGAGAGAGAGATGAGAGATTTAGGAATGCTCTCAATATCATCAGAACTGCTTTGATTGTTTCTGGTCATTTTCCACTAGGATACAGATGGGAGCCCTTCCATGAACGCGAATGTGGTGTGTTCATGTGTGCCCACATGTAGGCAGGATACAGAGGGGGGAGCACGGGAGCACAAAGCCAGTGATGGAGTTGTCGAGCTGGTTTCCATGGCTTTGGAGGGTGCAGGTCTGCTCCCTTGAGCCGCACCTCTCTGACTGTGTGCTGGATGGGAAGGGTTTCCGGTGAGCATGAGCGGTTGCTACAGCACTGAGCCTAGGGAGCTGTGGGTGTGGCTGTGGCTGTGGGTGGAAGCGGTGTGGGGGGTAGTGTCCTCTCTCCATCAGCAGCACCTCCCTGCAGGTACGAAGAGACCTTTCTACAGTCCCCAGGAAGAGGGTAGGCCCTTTCTCCTTTCTCTCTGACTCTGTGCCCAGCTCACATCTCTCCCAATGGGTTTTACTTGTTTGCTTTAATGGATTTCTATATTTGTTTTCTGTTTTGACTTTACAAGTTCCCTGCTAAATTTTAAGTCCCCCACCCCACCCCGATTTTTGTTTTCACAGTTTAAAGCTGGAAAAGAATTAAAAGAAAAAATACTACTTGATTTTCTTGCAAGTAAATTCACTTATTATATATTTACATTTATTTATAGTCTGTGGTTTTTTAATTAAAAAAATCACCACTTGTTTTTCCTTTTTCTTTTGTAAAAAGAAACCTTTTTGCAATGTCGTTGTTGGACTCACTGATGCCCCTCTGGGGACTCAGTGAGTCCACAGACCCCCCAAAGGGTCAGAGAGCCCCCTTCCCAGGGGGCTGGGGGCCTGTGAGTGTGGGGGTCCACCATCGCCCCAGGGTCATCTAGTGGCCCTGGGGTGAGGGGTGAGGAGGGACGGCTGCTCTGTATCCCCTGGGGGTAGGTGTCTCCTGCCTCCAAGGACAGGAACTGGGGTTACTGACCCCCAAACGCTCCCCCTGAGGATTCCAGGGATCTGGCTTCTCCATGAGCGGCAAGCAGTCATCCCTTCTCCTTCCTCAAGGCCTAGGAAGTCATCACAGTGGGTTAAGGACCATTAAGGACTGGGGACCTGGGGCTGGGTGGCCCCAAGTGCACCACCTCCAGGCACCTAACGGACAAGTGCGAACCAAGGGCTTGGGTCACCTGGAGGCCTGCGACTGCCCTGTTGGTGCTGGGTAGAGCTGGCTGCAGAGCTTCCTCAGCATCCCAGGACCCAGCCAGGGATCCAGGGGCTTGGCAGTGACCATTGCTCCCCTGGCCTTGGGAGCCCTGTCTCTACCCTTAGTCTCCCCGGGAGGCAGGTTCCTCTGGGGCTAAAGGGAAAAGAATGGGTTTTTATTTTTAAACTCTCCCTGCAGTTAAAACAAAACAAAAACAAAAACAAAGGCAACATAAAACCCTAATAAATACTCTCTTTCTTCATTTTTTTTGTCTTTTTTTTTTTGCTTTACATTATCTTAGTTCCCTTTTATTTTTTCATTTAAATTGGTTTTTATTAAATGTTAAAATAATGGTACATGGGAAATCATGCATTTTCTTTTAGATTTATTTTCTATTTTAATTTTATCCCTCTTGCTTTGTTTAAAGTTTGTTTTCCCTCGGTTATATTTTCCCCGCATAGCCTGTGGTTTTGATTTTGTTCCTCTTGTATTTTGTTCTTTTTTTTTAAATTTACTTGCTATGTTTTTCTCTTTTTTTGTTTTTTGTTTGTTTGCTTGTATGTTTGTTTTTTTTGCGTGTGGAAGGTCTCCCCGTGGCTGCTGCGGTCCCTCCCCCCCCAGCCCACGGGCCAAGCCTCCCAGGTCCCCCGGTTCCACCGTCTTCATACGGGAGTGGTCCGGCGGTTGGCTGTGTTGGCGTGGAGAGAGTCCTTGCTGTCCTTCTGGATACAGTTGTGGACCTGGAGAAAGCTGTTATCCCTGTCTGAGTTGTAGGTTGTGGTGGGCGTGGTGGCAGCCTTCAGGGGGTCCCTACTGAGGGTGTACATGGAGATCTCCGTGGACGGCAGGGTATTGAAGCCCTTCACGCCCACGGGCGAGGCGTCCCTGGAGTGAGAGGGCTCGGTGGAGCGCGAGCTGGAACGGCTGCGGCGCTGGTAGCGGTAGCGGTAGCTGGGGATGCGGGTGATGGCAGAGGCCTGGAGGTAGTCGGTGGCGCGGGCCGTGGCCCGCAGCTGTTTGTGGCGGTCGATAAACATGTGCACGGCCAGCACCCCGACCATCTCGGCGATGATGAAGGACAGGGCCCCGAAGTAGAAGGACCAGCCGTAGGAGTAGCTGTTCTTTTTGGAGTCACTCTTGGAGGGGTCCCCAGCATTGGCTGATATATACACGATGATCCCAATGATGTTACTCAGGCCTGGAGGGGAAGAAGAGAAGAGCCTGAGCTGCTAGGGGAAGGAGGGGCTGTGCGGGGTGGTGGTGGGAGCCGGTCAGCCGGTCAGCGGTGGGGGAGGTGTGGGGTGTGGGGCTTGATCTTGCTTCCGCGAACAGATGGACCTGCTGCGGAGGGTACACCTCGAAGCTTCCTATAACTATCTCAAGTTTTAAACTTTATTTTGGTAGGAGTGAACCGTGGCCTGGGTGTGGAGGTCAGACAGCTTTTGGGAGTTGGTTCTCTCCTTCTGTTGTGAGTCTCAGGAATGAAACTCTCAGGTCATTAGGCTGTGGAAAGCTTCCTTACCCACTGAGCCATCTTGCTGGCCCCGTCTTAATATCTTATCAAGCAATAGGGGAAGGGGCCGGTGTTGGCAAACATGGGCAGACAGAGGTAGCCCGTGAAGCATGGAGCAGTGATAGCAATGGCTACTGTTACCTGAGTACCCTATCCCGTGCTCCACAAACAGGCTGCAGAAGGCGAGATAGAGAGCACAGAGGGGATACGCTCCCTCCAAGTTCAATCTGTTGCTGGAAAAGCAAGGGGCGGGGGCGGAAGCCTTAGGCCGCAGTGGCCATGGTCTGAGTTTTCCAATCGGCAAATCAGGGGCTAAGGCCAGGCCTTACTCCTGAAAGACCCCAGAGAAGGCTCGATGAAGGAACACAAGTGAATGTACTTGAAAGAGAATGCGTTGGGGACATGGCCAGTGCTCTTAGGTGGCAACCAGCTCTATTCAATGGCTTATGGTACAGTTCTTGTTGCTCCCTGGGAATCTGTGGCCCCTGTGATAGGTCATGTAACACCTAAGATATCTGGCTGTGGGGCCTGCCTGCTCTACTGGCTGGATGGTGGGGAGCAGGGGCAGTCTTCCCTGGCTTCTAGGGTGCAGCTGGGTACCATACGGGACAGGCTGGGGACGGGTAGGTCCCTTGGTGCTTCTCTCTCTGTCTCTTCCTCAGTTTGCATGTGTTGGAAGGTCAGAGGGCAAGTGGGGTGGGCCTGATGCCCTGAAAGTCACCAGGATGTCAGGATGTCAGCCTTTTTCCCAGGTGGCAGGAGGAAGACGTGGCATTGGGGGTGTGTGGGGTGTGTGCACCGGGGCCTCAGTCTAACCTTCCCCTGGGACACAGCCTGCAGCCAGAGTGGGAGATACCACACCCCATCTGCTCGGTGCACACCCCTGCCTCACCTGCAGACACGAAGAAGATGCCAGCGCTCAGGATGATGTTGTGGCGTGTCTTGTAGAACTCGCTTGCTGCGATGCAGAGGCCACCCATGAAGAGCAGGATCACACTCAGGATCGGGAAGATACTTGAGGCCCTCACGGCCCCTGTGGAACACAGAGCACAGAGGTTCAGTGAGGGAGAAGGGCTGGGAGACGGAAGATGCAGGGAGCCTGGGTTGGGGGGGGCAGCACACAGGGTTCAGGGTTTCACGCAGCACACAGCCTTGGTGTCCAGGTGGCTTAGCACTATGAGGAAGGGAAGGAAGGAAGGAGGGTTCCTATGTAACTCAAAGTCCCCTAAAGGCTCTCCATGACCCTTAGGACCAGATCCCAGCACTCTGCCAGATACTCAGGGCCTGTGTCACTTGGCCTTCACCCACTCAAACCTTCTGCCTTTTTGGCCCCCATATTTTCTAGCCCAGACAAGCCAGCCTCCTAAGATGTATCATTTCATGCCATAATTAGCTTCCTTGCTGGGATGTCTTTTTTGTTCTTTTGACTTCTGCAAACTTGTACCCATCTATAAAAACACAGTTGAGAGTCTCCTCCTCTGGGGCACCTTCCCTGACTTCTCTATATAAAGTCTATCAGCTCCTTCCTTGGCGCTTGGGGGCACTTGGGCATATTAGGAGGCAGGTGGAGTCACAGGACTTGGACTGGAGTCTGGCTGTAGCATTTATTAGCTTTTTAAGTCTGGGGATGTCATCTTGCCTGTCTGCACCCCAGTAAGACAGGGATGGTCTGTCTGCAAGGAGCTTTGTGAGGGTTAAATGAGTCAGTTCAGGTAATGGATTTATAGAATGTGTTCACTGGGCTGTAAATGACAGTTGTCATATCCAGTGCTTGCTCGTTTGTATGTTTTCATTGGGAGTCATAGAGCCCAAAGGGCTGTGCCTTCTCTTTACAGCTTCCTTCTCCGTTCGCTTTTTCAGAGGCACAGGAGACCCCTAGTGCGTGCTCGTAAGAGTGAACAAAGTGGCCCAGAAAAGGTGGCAGACAGACAGGCTCATTGCAAAGAGAAAATGGAAAAGAGATACCCAGGGCCCTGGAACGAGGGAGCGACGAAGGCCCGGCTGGCAGGACTCGTACAAAGAATAGCTTAAAAGCGAGGGGAGAGGGGGAAGGGTGGTGGCGGGCAGCGGGAGGGCACGGACACCTAGGGAAGAGCAGCTGGCCTGTCTGCTTGTGGGACCCAGCATCTAACGAATGCCAGTCAACAGAGGCTCCGAGAGTCCCTGCAAAGTCATATGTCTTTCCCCGTGACCAGGAAGGGGTGGAGCTGAAGGCCAGGGAGAAGATACCTGCTTAGACGCTGTGGTCACCTCCTCTATAGCCAGCTTTCCGGCAAGTGTTGGAGATTAAACCCAAGGCCCTCCACATCCTAAGGAAGTACCCTGCCGCTGGTCTGTACCCTCAGCTCTCCTTTTGCCCTTCTAGACGGGGTCTAAATTATCTCAGCTGTCCTTGAACTTACTTCGCAGCCCACTGAAATCGCAATCTGTCTGCGTCAGATTTCTGAGTGCTAGCATGACAGACCTGTACCACCAGGCACTGGTGGCTCTATGGCTCCCCCGGTGACTTCTAAGGAAGTTAGGGCCTGTAAGGGGTGGATCCTTTGAATCAAGTCCAGAGATTGTCTATGGTATAGTTTGGGGGTGAAGATGCCAGGTATGTCCCTGTCCTTGTCCTTTGGGTGGCCAAAGGCTGAGGATCTGTGAGAGAAAAGCTTCCTCTCTCTCAGTCTCTGTCTCTCTCCCTCCCTCCTCCCTACTCTTCCTCTCTCTTTCTAGACAGGTGCTCACTATGTAGCCCAGGTTGGCCTTGAACCAGGGATCCTTTCACCTCAGTCTCTCAAGTGCAGGGATTATATGTATGCATTGCCATGCTAGCTAGGGGACAGCTCCTCTTCCTCTTTTTCCTCCCCCCCCCCGTTTTTTTTGAGACAAAGTCTTTCTATGTAGCCCAGGATATCCTGAAAGTCACTGTGTAGTCCAGGCTGTCCTAAATTTACAGAGCTCTGCCTGCTTCTGCAGTGCTGATATTAAAGGGGACAGACCTGGACGCTCAAACAATTTTAGGGAGTTCCTTGTAACCCCACCCCTCACCTAAGGTAGAGTCTGACCATTGCTCTTTAGTGAATAGACAGTGTTAGGGTGGGGGTGGGGGACCTGAGGCTACAGATGGAAATTGGGCCAGAGGCTGATGCTCCCTGGGGACAGGGCTGCTTTCCTCCCCAGGCTTTAGGGAGACGTGTTCTCTTGTAAGCTAATTCTTAGAAAATGCACTCTGTTTTTAACTGGACCTGACTCAAGCACTCATGTGCACAAACATGGAGACACACATGCACATGTGCAATACAATAACAGTTCATAGCTTCCTGAATTCCCACCAGGACAAGCACATTAGGATGGTGAGTGCTTATTGACAGCCTGGAGAAGAGAGACTTTTGTGCTGGGTTCTGAGTGGGGACCTAACACACATCACAACGTTGCTGCAGTTTAGAGAGGAGAAAACTGAGTTCAGAGCTGTGGGACAACTTGTTTAAGGCTACCCAGCTAGTGAGCAGGGATCCTTCCTTCTTTCCTTCCTGTCTTATTTCCTCCTTTTCCCAAGATCGGGCTTTCTGTGTGACCACCCTGGCTATTCTGGAACTTGCTCTGTAGACCAGGCTGGCCTCAAACTCACAGGGATCCTCCTGTCTGCTTTCCAGTGCTAGCGTTAAGGCACCCAGTGAGCAGGATTAGAACAGCACCAGGGCTCTCCCAGGACCTTAGGATGGAGCTGGGAGGTGGGCGGAACTGAACCCTGGCTCCATCTGCACCATGGACTGTTACATAGATGATTCTGCCCTTCCATATGGACACAGAGGGAGGACTCTGTCCCCCTTCTCCAAGGAAGTGGCTCTTCCTGCCCACAGCACACCCGCTTGTCAGAGGAGACTGCCCCGACGCAGAGCGTCTCAGAACAACCAGATACTCATCTCTGCCTCTTCTGCTGTGAGAATTTTGTAACACCTAAGATATCTGGCTGTGAGGCCTGCCTGCTCTATTGCCTTTTAAAAACTCACACCAGTCCCTGGAAGCCAGCCTTGGTTTGTGGGATACTTCCTGGTGGCAGTAGCTGGGCCCTTCTGGTTGACAGTGCATACTGGGCCGAGACAGGGATGGTTGTCTGAGATGGAGGGTTCTTTGCTCTTGCCTGGTGGGAGTGCCCACCCCTGTGCCCAGTTCCTGGATGCAGGAAAACAGGCCTTGCCCCATCTTTATGGAACTGTGTTGTGGTAAGGGATATACACGTCATCAGACAATATAACAGAGCCAGGATGAAGTGTTCTAACAGAAAGGAACCTATGGAGCACCGTGGTGTGTGTGTGTGTGTGTGTGTGTGTGTGTGTGTGTGACAGGCTCCTGTCTCACACTCTTGAGAATTGAGAGTGTGGCAGATGACACTGCTTTAGGCCCTCTGCAGATATTAACTTGCTGCCCCCTTCAGCCAATGGAGAACTTTACTCCTGCTATACAGAGGCTGAAGCCTAGAGAGTTCGGCCATCTGTCCACGTGTTGTGATCCCAGGTGTGTCCATGTAGCCGTGGCGTTCCCCTGCCTAGGCTTTCTACACCTTCTGAGCTGGATCAGTGATGTGGGCTTGAGCTCGGATGGTTACGGTGGCGGCAGCTGCCAAGAGTGCTTGTGGGACAGAAGCAGCATCAAGTGACTTGTTCAGTGACTCACACTCATGGAAGGATTTGAGGACCTGGGAGAGAGGAAGCCAGGAGGGCCAGGGCCAGGGTTAGAGCCAGGTGGTGCCTCCCGGGCCACTGGGGGCCTTGTGGGTCAAGGTAAGGAGTGTGCATTTGTTTTCAGGGCTTGGGATGCTCTGGGGGAACAGGGAGGGTTGGAGAAGCAAAGTCAAGAGTAGGGGCCTAGAGGAAGGTTGCTGGCCATAGCAGTGGGGTTTGCTCCAGTGTGGGTCCAATCCAGGATATGGGCAGAGGAGGGTAGGTCTGAGAGACTGCTGGGAAGTGGCTAAGTGAGGGAGAAGACTTTTTCCTGTGGTTTCAGACTTGCTGGCTGGCTGGAAAAACTGCACTTGGAGGCAAGGAGAGATCAAACTGGTCAGACAGGCCAGGCCAGGCCAGACTGTGAGAAGGAGGGGAGGAGGGGAAGACCAGGGGAGGAGGGGAGGGTGAGAGGGAAGAGGTGTAGGGAAAAGGGTCCAGCCAAAGAAACACACCCTGAGCAGAGCCAAAGAAACACACTTTGGCCCTGAACCAGAACCAAAGAAAGGCACCCTGACCCTGAAACCAGTGCCAAAGAAACACACTTTGTCCCTGGAATCAAAGCCAGTGAAAGAAATACACCTTGGTCCTGAAATTAGAGCCAAAATGCTAAAAAGGACCAGTGAAAGAAACACTTGGGCCCTGAAACCAGAGCCAAATCTGACCCTGAACCTGTTCAGAAAACCAACCAATCCCTGAGCACGAGATCTAGCCATTCTGAGCTTAGGGATTGAAATCTGATCAATCCCCGTCCTGGAAATCTCCTTGGAAAAACTACCCCCCACCTAAGAAGCCCTGTATAAACCCTGTGTCTGTTCAGCTTGTGGCTGTCCAGCTGTCCTCTGCCACCCTGGCAGAGGGCAGCCACTCTCCTGGATTATTTCCTCCCAGTGTCTTGAATGAGGTTTGGGTGAGACCTTCCTTTGCAGGAATGGAGTGTAGGAGAGAAGTAATAACTTTTTGCTGGAGCCAGAGCAGAGCTGAGTGAGCTGAGCAGGACTGTAACACTTTCACAGGGGAAAGTTGTTACACCCCAGGGGACCTGAGCTGCAGCAGAGCTGTTATACTGGCAAAGGAAGCCTTTCCCTGGAGCAGGGTTATAAATGCTCTGCTTACTGTGACCTGTGGTATTCCTTGGCTACCTAGTGCCAGAATACCTTTCCATCCGAGCTGTAACACACAGTATCTGTGGCTCCCGAGTGCCAGAATCCATCCCTGCCCATTCCATCTGATCGATTGACAGGCTCACAGGAGGTTGAAACTCCAGGTTAAGACATCCCCAGTTTGAGGTCTTCCGGGGTCATATCCACTTACTGTGGAGTAGGCA